GGGTGCAGATGTATAGCACAAACACAATCATAAGCACAACTGCAGTAGCCTAGAGCCAGAGCGGGAGGCAGCTTGGAGACAGAGGTGAGACCAGACTGCACCAATCATGGTGATAAAGCCAGAGGGAGAGTGGGGTGTGAATCTGGACTGGAGCTCTTGGGGCTAGCAGTTGCTAATGGTTGCCCATGGACACAGTGAAAGTAGAGGGGGCATGTTTATCTAACCCCAACTTTCCCTCAACAGTGCCCACTGCCAGGCTGAAACAGGGCAGATGACATTTTGAGTTTGGGAAAGAGCTGCAGAAGAATTTGTGTGTTCACACAAGCTTTCCATAGTAAAACAAAGAAAAATTCAAGAATATGCACTAGAGAAATGCCAAATTACTTTCAGAGGCTCTCCAATGAGACTCACAGATGACTGCTCACCAGAAACCCCACAGGCTAGGAGAGAATGTTGAAACACAGTCCAAGTCTTAACAGAAAAAAAAAAAAAAAAAAAAAAAAAAAACCTGTCAAAGCAGAATACTCAACCCTGTAAACCTCTCATCTATGAATGAAAGTAAAATAAAGACCCTCCATAACAAACAGAAATTGAAGGATTTGTCACCACTTGTGCAGCCTTTCAAAAGATGTTTAAGGATGGGCTATACACAGAAACACAGAAACATGGACATTACTATGAAAGAAGGTGAAGGCAGAAAATCTCCTAGTAAAAGTACAAAGGAAATACAAAGTAAATAACAAGGTTTTGTTGTTGTTGTTGTTTTTTTTTTTAATGGAAAAATGGCAGGGCTAAGTCATTACTTATCATTAGTAACCTTGAATGTAAATGGTTTCAACTCTCCAGTTAAGAGATACAGACTGGGTAAATAGATTAAATAGCATGACCCATCTATTTGCCACCTACAAAAAGCACATATCACCAATAAAGATATAAGCAGGTTGCAAATGAAAGGATGGAAAAAATATTTCATGCTAACAGAAAGCACAAAAAAGAGCTAGTGTAGCCATCCTAATATTAGACAAAATAGACTTTAGCATGAAAACTGTTAAAAGAGATAAAGAATGGCACTATGTATTGATTAAGGCATCAATTCAATAGGAAGATGTGACTGTAATAAATATATATCCAGGGCACTTGGCTACTTAAAAAGAAATGTGAATGGATCTGAAGGGAAACATAAACTCCAATACAATGGTAACAGGAAACTTCAACACCCCACTTTCATCAATGGGCAGATTAACTAGACAGAATAATCAAACAATGGAGCTAATGAACACTATGGACCAAGTGGACCTAACAGATCTCTGCAGAACTTTTACCCCACAGTTGCAGAATACACATTCTCATCAGGGCATGTAACTTTCTCTAGGTTAGATTATATGCTAGGCCATAAAGCAAGTCTCAAGAAATTCAAAAAATAATGAAATTATACAAAACAGCTTCTCTGACCACAATCCAATGAAGCTGGAAATCAACAACACAAGAATCTCTAGATCATATGCAAACACATGAACACCGGAGAACATGCTCATGAATGAACAATGAGCCATAGAAAAAATTAAAAGAGAAATCAAAAAATTTCTGTAAACAAATGAAGATGACAATACATCATATCCAAAGTTATGGGAAACAGCAAAAGCACTGTTAAGAGGGGAGATTATAACAATTGCTGCCTATATGAAGAACTGGGAATGGCACCAAATAAATGAGCTATCAATGCATCTCAAGGACCAAGAAAAACAAAGAAAAAATCTTAAAATTAGTAGGAGGAAATAAATAATTAAAATTAAAGAAGAAATAATCAAAGTTGAAATAAAAAAAGTGCAAAAGATTGGTGCAATGAAGAGCTGATTTTTTGAAAAAATAAACAAAATTTATACATCATTGCCACACACACACACACCCCTCCTCCAAAAGAAGGAGAAACCCAAATCACTAAAATCAGAGATGAAAAAGGAAATTTAACAACAGACATCACAGACATGAAAAAAAGAATCACGAATTACTACAAACAGCTGTATGCCAACAAATTAGGATATCTGGAAGAAATGTATAGATTCTTAGACACTATCAAAATTTAGTCACGAAGACATAAAAAAGCCTAAGCAGATGAATAACCAAGATAGAGATTGAATAAGTAATAAAGACCCTCCCAAAAAGGAAAAGCTCAGTACCAGATGGCTTCACTGCTGAATTCTACCAGACATTCAAAAATAATTCACTCCAATTTCCAAACTATTCAAAACATTTGACCTTGAGAGAATCCTTCCAAACTCCTTCTATGATTCCTGCATCACCTTATTTCCTAAGCCAGAAAAAGATACACCAGAGAAAGAGAACTATAGACCAATATTGCCAATGAATATAAATGCAATAATCCTCAACAAAATATTAGCTCATGGAATCCAGCAACACATCAGAATGATCATTCACCCAGACCAAGAGGGATTTAATTTTGGTATACAGGGATGGTTCAACGTTCACAAATCAATCAATGTAATACATCACATTAACAAACTGAAGAAAAAAAAAACCTTATGATTATCTTAATAGATACAGAGAAAGCATTTGAAAAAATTTAACTTTCTTTCATGATGGAAACCTTAAGCAAATTGGAGAAGGAGCATTCCTCAGCATGATCAAAGCAATTTATGGCAAACCCATGGCTAGCATCCTATCAAAAGGGGAAAAGCTGGAAGGATTCCCCCTGAGATCTGGAACTAGATAAGGATGCCCACTCTCACCATTGATATTTAATATAGTCCTGAAAGTTCTAGCTAGATTCATTAGTCATGAAAAAGAAATCAAAGATATATGAAATGGAAAAGAGGAAATCAAAATATCCCTATTTGCAGATGACATGATCCTGTATATAGGGAACCAAAATGATTCCACTACGAGACTATTGAAAATCATTAGAGTTTGGTAAAGTGGGAAGATATAATATCAAAACACAAAAATTAATAGCCTTTGCATACACATAGAATGTTAGGGATGAGAAAGAGCTTGCAAGATCAGTCCCATTCAGTATGGCTCCAAAAATAATTAAGTACTTTGGAATAAATTTACCCAAGGATGTCAAAGATCTTTATAATGAAAATCACAAAATACTAAATAAAGAAACAGAAGAAGACATTTAAAAATGGAAAACAGCTAAAATTTAAACACCTAAGAATAATTGTGTGTTAATCACAGAGTTCAACCAATGGTACTAGAACAAAAAAAAAAAATACTAAAATGGATAAAGTATTACATTGTACATCAACCATCAGGACAAGAGCTGATCAAGTCATTGTTTTTCATAGTGTCCATTTCACTTCAACAAGTTTCCCCTTTGGTGCTCAGTTAGTTGTTGCCAATCAGGGAGAACATATGATATTTGTCCCTTTGGGACTGGCTTAATTCACTCAGCATGATGTTTTCCAAATTCCTCCATCTTGTTGCAAATGACTGGCTTTCGTTGTTTTTGACTGCTGTATAGTATTCTATAGAGTACATGTCCCATAATTTCTTTATCCAGTCTACTGTTGATGGGCATTTGGGTTGGTTCCAGGTCTTAGCTATTGTGAATTGAGCTGCAATAAACATTAATGTGCAGACTCCTTTTTTGTTTGCCAATTTCATTTCCTCTGGGTAAATTCCAAGGAGTGGGATGGCTGGGTTGCATGGTAGGGTTATATTCAGGT